TTTTGAGGTATGTACAGAGATTGTGATTTCGATACAGGATACTGTCTGGCAATCACGAGATAGTTCTCAACAGGGAGTTATCTCGTTGTAGCCAGACTATACATTATCCTAACAATAGAAGTGAGGTTATATGCTCCGCATATGTTGTGAATATATGTTCAAAACAGATAAAAATATTCATTTCGTAATATATTAAAAGCATGCGCTGTCAATAACTCTTTACAAACGGAAACTGCATGGTTCTTAACGAACTGTTTGGTGATCATAAATATTTTAAATTTGTCAAGTGGGATGCTAGAAGCACCAACAAAGAAAGTTTAAATTTACGAACAAATGTTTCTAACTATTTACTAAAGGTACCCGTATATGAATTAAATTTTTATTTTTATGAGAGGTATTCGTAGGTTCTTTAAAAAGCGTCCATAAAAATTTAAAAATTTTATTAACAGTTTTTAACTGCTGAAGATAGAAAGAGAGAGGTAGTTAATAGCAAACTTCATTTTTTTCATATATTGTGAGGAAGATGCAGCATTATACAATTTTAACTTAAAACGTTGAAAAAGTTCAAAATTTTCTTACAATTTGCATTTAACTTGTTTGATGCTTAATGAAAATAGCTTAACAATAAAATGCATAGAGGTAACAGGAGGTAGTGTATTATTTTAAGTAAATAAAATAACATATTTCTTTAAATATAATTAAAACTAGCCATTAAATATGGATATACTTGAATTAGTATACTTGTAAGGCTATATATTTCTTTAAAATATTTCTTTGCGACAAATATGGCTATTAAAAATTTATGAAATGACGATATTGACTGCTTCAATTATTAATCAACAGTTGAGTAAGTAATATACCTTAAAATGAGCAACAATCAACTTAATATTTATGTTTTTAAACTTAGAAGTTTCGTTCATGAAATAATAATCTATGTATTAATTTAAAATACTATTAATTTAAATACTTATTGATTAATGCTAACAACAATTTTTTTTATAGTACTCGTGATGAATGTTTTTAAAACATCAGTATTCATAGTTAAGTATAAATTTTGAAATAAACTCCCTCGAAAAATATTATAATGTCGATAAAATAAAATTATTCTATTGATGTTATATTTAAATTGTTATTATTATTGTTATACAATCTGCTGATTTAAATATATTATTGCTGCATCATGTCCTCAGAAGAAAATTACAAGAGATATGTTTACAAGAAGTATATTGCATGATTTGAATAAAAGTTTTTTTCTTTTTCTTCCTTGAGTTGCATTGAGGCTACCTGTTATAAATATGTGAAATGGGCAGAAACCCAGAAAGCATTTCAGAGTGGCAGGCCAAGACGTTTTCACAGATATGTTAAATTGGCGTTATGTACCCAGTGCAAGTTTCTTACATATAATTCCACTCACATATAGGATTTACAATTGTACATGGTAGATAAAAAACTACCTCATTTAGAATTATTTCAATTAAACATTTGCATTGTTTATAATAATAAAGATAACAAGCTTATCAAAGTTCATTAAAAAAAATTAAATCCATGGAAGAAAAAAGTAACACGGTTTTCAAATATCACTCTATGAGCATTAATATTATAAACTAAATAGTGAAAATTATGTATTACAAACTCAATTGTGAAAATTAATTTATAAACTCAGTTGTGTGTTATAGTTATCGAAATTGTAATATGAATAAATTTAACATTGAAATCGCTTTAATGAATGCAACATTGTAAAATAGGCAATACAAAATCAATTAACCTTTACTTATTTTCAAATAAAAATTTACCAATATGTTAAATAATGTTTTCAATATGTTGAAAAACTGAAGAAAAAAGTCTTCACTGCTAAAAAACAACAACTTGAATTTACCTTTTTATGATATTTTCTTAACAAATTCCAATAATCAAAAACATTATTTCTTTTAAAATCTCAAATGAAATTACGATTTTTAACAATCCAAATATGTATTAATATATTTAACAGAGTAATAATGCAGTTGTACATTTGAAACAAAAACATACTACTTGAGTCATAAAATTGAAATTGTAAATTTTTCAAAATTACAAAGCAGTGATTATTTCTGACTGGCAAAATACAGGAGTAAATTTACACATTCAAGTTACTATTCATTATTAAAACGATTACGATTCATTATTAAAACGATTCTTTTGGGAGTAATGAGGTAGCTTATAAGCCTTTTAACAATTTTTTTTCTTCGTGCATTTAAACATTAACTATACAATTGATATATGCATAAAATATTCACCGTAATAATGACTAACTGCTATTAAACAGATAAATATAAATTTTTAAAAAAAGTTGTAACCACTTGCTTTACAGAGTGTGTCACAGCACTTAATACTTATGCTTAGAATTCTTGTCAAAAGTAAGGATGAAAAAGTATACTTATTGAGAGTCGAAAATTAATATTCAACCCAGGAAAAAATAGAACGCTATCAAAATCTAACGAGTCACAGATAAGAAAAACGGGGTTTAAAGTAAAGAAACCTATTTGATTGCCTAATGGAACTTGAAGGTGTGCCTAAGGCAGGTCACAAAATGAGGAACCGAGCGGTAAGAAAGAGACATGTCAAATGCAAGTTCCCATACTTTTGCATTAGCATCCGCACATCAACTCTGCGCATCCTAATGGTAAAGTATAGGAATTCGTCACTGCATGCCTCTTTCTTACCGCTTGCTTCCTCGGTGTGTGGCGTGCCTAAGAATCACTTTTAACTTTTCTCCGTTTCTTCGGGGAATCAAACAGGTTTTAATCTTGCCTTCCTCGATAGTAATTCGTCAGATATCGATACCGTTTTTCTATTTTCCTCCTTTAACTATTGATTTGAAATCTCAAATGGCTGTACTTTTTTACTTTCATTTTCGACAAGAATTTTAAATCAATTTTTGAAGGGAGGTGTAATAGAACACCCTGTATAAAAAAAAGTGTTAGATTTTAGAAAGAAAAATAAATTTGAAAGTCATTAATACATGCTTTAAATTGAAAATATTACCAAACATGCTATAAGATCACAATTGAATAATACCATCACACACATACCACGAAACATTTCTACTGTTGTTTTTTCATTTTACAGGCACTTGGCTATATACAGAACAATAAGGGAAAGCTACATGTACTGGGGATTTTAAAAGTTTCTAGCATTAAAAACAAGTAAAAATTTTACTTTTTAAATAAAATATTTTTTATCAAGCTTCATCATGGGTGAGGTATTTTTAAATGAAAATTATTTTCTGATTACAATAATTTTCAGATAATTGATTTAAATTTTATTTACAAAAAAAAAGTTCAATTATATTAGTGAAAATATTTTGGTGAGCAATTACTGAGAAATAAGGGCTTAACATTTATACAGCAACTCGTGTGATTATTTTCTTTGTCCAAAAAAAAATTTAAAATTAAGTTTAAGTATAATTTTTATTAAGTTTATATTTTAGCAATTTATGAAACCGAAAAATAAATAAAATTTATTCACCTTAACATTAATGACAAGAATTTATTTTTAGACGAAATGAATTATGACAAAGCTTACAGCAAAGGTTCCAAACCTATTTTGAGTTTACCTTTTTCAAAATAAAGTATAATTAATTTATTTTTCACTCATTTTTTATGTCAAAATTAACTTAATTTACGAAAAAATTTATATAAATGAAAAATTTCAATGAGCAATTATTAAGAAAAAAGGGCTAAAATATTATGCAACAATCTACATGTTTATATCAATCACAAATTAAGTTAAAACAATTTATAGCATCCGTAGGCCAGTATTAAAATAAATAAATGAATAGATTTGGAATCCCTTGTATCAAACTAACATCTATGTTGGCATTTCATTAATACATCATCATGGGCATGAGCATCATCATGCTGGAGCCTTACATTACAACAAATACTATCTAATATTTGANTATTGATGAAGCTCCTGTGAGGTGATTAAATGAGGTGATTCTCTCTTAATTATCTGTTAACAATCACAGAAACATCACAACCGCCTGACACATCACCTAATAAACCTGTTTATACTCAGCTGCTGAGAGTGTGTATCAGCAAATACATTTCAATTAAAATATAACTCCTAGAATATTCAATACATATTTTGCCTCAATTGGATAAAGTAGATTATCATAGTTGCAACAGATACAAATTGTGGATCAATTTTTTTTGAAAGAATTGAGTATGAAAAACTGTTTAACTTTCAGTTCAACGACAGGAAGTTATAAAACGTTAAAAAAAATTAGGTAATGGAGATATTTAGTAATAGCAATAAAGATATGCAATTTTTACTCTTTATGCATAACTGGTTAGAAAATCACTTTGGTGTGGATGAAATATTATTATATATATTATTAAGTTAATATTATAATCATAATTATAACATATAATATTTATAATTATTATATTACTATTAAAAACTGCTTATTTTAAACTTATGATTATTATTTTTTTTTAAAAAAATTTAAAATATTTTTAACTTGGAAAATGAAAATAAAATTGTAAAAAAATTACATAACATTATTTAAGTTGTTACAATTTTTATTTTTTAATGTGTAACAGTTTAGAAAAATCAAAATAAATTAGCTAACGCAAAAAAAAATAAAATAAATAAATAAATAAAAAATCATTGATTTTTATTTGGTAAGCATGAAAAATAAAAACTATTTATATTTCAAATTTTCGATTCTTTTTTTTAAACAAAAAATGAACTTTGAAATCTTAACATGATACAAATAAAAAAAAATCACATAAAAATTTAGGATTTTTACTAAAAATTAAATGAGTTTAGAAGTGTGTTATAAAATTAAGAAGTATATTTCCCACTAAATGATAATCAAAAAAAGAAAAAGAATCAGTAACAAATTAGTCAGAATAAGATATTATTCAGACACAATTTATCAATGATTCACTACTAGTTAGTCTGGAAATTATGTTTAACTCTTAAGCTTTTTCACCACAACGTTTTTACTTACTTATTGTTAAAATAATCCTGTCGTTAAAATGAGAGTTAGAAACGCAGAAAAGGGAGTAGAAAAAGTTTTTTTTTTTACTTAACAGGTGCGAAAACTTATAAGTACCTACATTCCTGAGGTGGAGTTATAAAGATCACGTAACAAAACACAAAATAATACACAAAACTACAAAAAATTTGCCCGAAACGTGAAAATTTTAAGAAAAAATTTAACTTGGTGATAATTTAATACAGCATAAAAGCGAACACAGTATATGATGTAAGTACACACATTTTTTTTTCTTCCTTTCAACAACTAACAGATATATTTTGGCACCGCAAAACTCATTAATATATATAGATTCATCTAATAAAAAATGTTTACAGCAGGAAACTACAATAATTACACGTACCTAAACTCCACACTGCTAAGAATGTTTGGTCGGGTGAACTGTATTTAGGATCTAACAAAATAAAGAAATACCACAAAGCAAAATGGTTTGAGCGATTCAAATGAAAACCAGTCAATAAATGCTGCAATATATCATCATTCCTGATCAATAATTCAAAAACGGGAAGAAAAAAAATTCATTCTTAAAAGTCTGATATAAAACTTTAAATATATTTCAGTGAGATAAAATTTTAAAATCCTAGTCGGAAATAAAGTCATTAAAATTTTTACATTACTACAAATTTATAAGTGAAATACAAAGAAATGTTATCAAAATTTTATGAATCATTTTTAAGTTAACCAGATTAAAAGTGAAATGAAATACAACAATAGTCAGGTCAAAGTGAAAAGTGTTTTCCATACATTAGGAATTACCCTTCAATTTCACCTGCTATCACCTTTTGATGGTTTTAATTCTATCCTTTGTGTGATTGACCATGCTAGTAATTAGTCAAATTTTGATAGTATTTTCTCCTCCCTAATAAGTAGATTTTTCATTTTGTCAAGGTTTAAAAAAAGTACATAATTAAGGGTAGCGATTATATAACTCCTTATATGTCTATTTAATAAATTATTTTTGTAACCAAATTTTTTTAATAAAAAAAAATATGTCTACAGCTTAAACTACGTTCTTTGTTAGAAAAAAGAATAATAATTCGGATTCATAATTGATGATATTGTTTACAGCATTTAAAAACCAGTAATTTTTTGTTTTGATGTGACTTAGGGGTCATAAATAGTCATTTCTTTGGAATCCGAATCTCGTTCGGATAAAATATAAGGTGAATTACCACTTTGGCTAACGACGCACTTGCGCATATGTTTCTCTAATGTGCTTGGCACAGAGAAAGGCATGTCGCAGAAGCGGCACCGGTAAACATCCTTTCCCGATCTACCATGCGTTTTCATGTGTCTAGTTAATTTTGAGCTTTGAGCACAGGCATAACTACAAAGTTCACATTTGTACGGTTTCTCACCAGTGTGCGAGCGACGATGCACAGTCAGATTTGAGCAGTTCTTGAAGACTTTGCCACAGTATTCGCAGGTGTCGTTCCTGCGCTGTTCTCCTTTGGGTTTGATGATACTGTTGGCAAGAACTAAAGCTGTGCTTGGTCCCGGTAAAGGGCTCAAGCTTGTTCGACCATTGTCACCAGAGATCAAGGCACTTTCTGTGGATGACTTATTGCGATGGTTGTGGTGACCATCTTCTTTGTAAAGTTCTCTGAAGGTAGATACTGCATGCTCTACACGCGGGTACCACACTCCGGCATATGAGAAGTTACCTTCTCGCTCTTTGTCTTTCCATTGTTCGTCTAGTCTCATTCGTTTTAAATTCAGAGAATGGTCCAGGGGATCTAAGACACCAACACCAAAGTTGAGCGGTGACTGTCCAGCACTGCGAGTTCCTTCACGAGGGGGCCTTTCAAGATGGTGAAAAGGCACATCGTAACTGTGGTGGCTTCCAGCATCGTTGGAAGCACTATTGTCCGTACCCGATGAACCATTTTCAGCTTTAATAGAATTTCGATATGAACTTTCTTTTAAGGCTTGTTTATATGCTTCGTTATACTGAGGTATGCGGCAAAACCCGATTTTTTCCATAAATTCACTCACCACGGAGTGCTTAATCAATTTTTTGTCATTCACTTGTTCATTTTCTTCTTTTTTAATGCCATTGTTCAGAGGTGGCTTTTTCGTTAAATCTTCTGCAACCATACCATCATCTTCTCGAGAATGGTCTATCACCAAATTACCCTCACCATTTTCTCTCGGTTCGTCTTCTTCTATGCAATCGACGTTTAGTTCTTCTTCGTCAATTTCTTCTTCTTCAACATCAATTTCTTCTTCATCACCCTCATCAGAAGCACAATCTCCGTTTCCATTCATATGTTTTTCTAAATTGGTTTTAGATTTGCCATCATTTGATGTATCTTTATGGTCACCGTTTTCATTATTATGATTTGGGGATAACTTGATAGTACCATCGAAACTAATTTTTTTACCCCGATGTGTTTTCATGTGTCTTTTGAGCTTGCTAGCCTGAGTGCAGGCATGATTGCAAATGTGGCACTTGAAAGGTTTTTCACCAGTATGCGAACGTCGGTGTACTATAAGATTGCTTTTAAATTGGAAAGATTTTCCACAATACTCACATAGTCTATTTTTGGCAGATGAATTCTGATTGTGGTCACTAGTTGTGGAGGAAGCTGAAGAATTGAGGTTAGTCTGGTCTGGTTTGTCTGGAGAACTTAAAGAGGACTCGGGAGGTGTTGGAACACGGGGACTTTTGCTATTTAGATTAACCTTAAATGCAGTTTGTAAAAGTTTTCGAGGAGTAGAAGAAGCTTTTGGACTGGTTGCTCCTGCCAAAACTCTCAGTCTTTGGGAGTAGAAATCTTGCATTGGTTCACAGTTGGACAACTGAGGTGGTTCAAGTAAAGGTGGTGGTGTTGTACTTGCAACTGATCCATTGGTCAGGTGGGTGGAAGACTTGCCGATGAGATCTAAACGTAATTCTTGACTAGAGTTGCGAGAAAATAGAGGATTTGGGTCCATTTGGCGTTCGAGAAGAGGTGCTCTAAGGTTAAATGAATGATTGAGGGCGGATGAAGAATCGATGGATTTTTCAAATTTCTCGTCATTAGAGGTAGTGTCAGCACAGATGTTGATTCCATGTGCAGTTTGCGCATGAAGTATGAGGGCCCATGCTGACGTTAAGCTCTGCTTGCATGTATAACAAATATAACTTCTTGGCTCTAGAAATAAAATAAAAAATGATTTAGCAAATTAAAATTTTACTTCTAAAGTCTTAATTATGAATGATAATTATGAATGATTAGTTAACTTAACTTAATAATTAATTGTTAATAACTTAAACAATTAATAACTTTAAGATATATTTATACAGAAAATGTCTTTGAATGAAAATAGAAACATAGAAATTGAACTTCATCATAAATTTCGTATCTATAGAAAATTGTTTTCAGTAGACAATATCGTTATTAATCAGAGTAATCATTATTAAAAATTGAATTTCATGAAGTGGCATAACACATACCATTCCACCGAGCTCTGGTATTTGCAGCGTAAAATATTTTTTTAAATATTAATGTAGTCTTTTTATGTAATATTGTTATTATAGCACTATAACATTATTATTATTATTATGGCATTAAGAGCCTTCCAATGAGGTGGACCTGGTTCGAATCCCAGCAATGGCTGGTCGATAGGAATTCCGCATCCGGCTCGCACCGACCACAGTGCTGACGTAAAATATCCTCAGTGGTAGTCGGATCATGGGTAAGAGTTTCCTTGCCGTCAGGCTAACTGTGTGTGTGTGGGGGGGGGGTGGAAGTTGCTCTCCATGTAACGCAAGGGTTAGTTCCACCAAAACGTCCTCCGCGAAGGCAAATCTCTCTCAATACTTGATCCAAGAGTTCTCTTGTCTTCTGGATTGTGTTCAAAATTAAAAGGCTACGGGGTTGAACATTAGTTGTCGTAAACCGAAAAATTGAGTTGGCTGTTCAACGACGGTTATGAAATAAATACAATATAGCATCATTTAAGAAGCTAAGAAACATTTTATGTGTATACAACTGCAAATTTTTAATTTTTTTTCAGAGAGTTCTTAAACTTCACATTAAATTTTTTTTTTTTAATTATGTAGATTAACAGATTTCTAAACATTTTAATTTCATTTCGGACAACAACTTGAAGAAATTATTTATTTTTTCCACAGAATAGGGGGTTGAAGGAATAAAACTCTCTAGTCCTGCAGACAATTATCAACATCTTAAGAACCGGATCTATGTTGAAAGAAGAGGGAGGGGAGATTCAAGCTTTTACCAAATCAAGTTTTGGCAAAACCAAAATTCACGACTAACATTAGTACCGTTATTGTATACACATTTTGCTGTTCATTGGTTTTAAAAACTGACTCATAACTTGTATAGATATATCCTATGTTTTTCTTTTCATCCCAGGAATGAAACCCCCTAAATTTAACGACCCCCTATCCTGGAAAATGGATGACTTCAGTTATCGAATAAAGAGGATCATGAAGTAAGCTAAAAATGAAATAAAAAAAGGACCAAGTCCAGAAAATGAAAGTGTAGAGAGAAAATTCTTGGTCACTAAAATCCATCCATCACTGTCGAATTTCAGACTAGCCCATCCCTCCGGCCGCAAATCCTAGAACTCACCGGCCTCCCTATCAGAAGGCCTCTCCCGCATCTGCAAAACTGATCTTAATGAAGAAAAAACGATTCCTATTTTCATTTCCGTTCTGATGATAGATCAGAGATCTCAGTGGCTTCTGCCGGTCAGGGTGGCAGAAACGGAAATGGGCCTTAAATTCGTCACCACTGCACACATTAACAATCAACTAGGCTTGTGATCGGTCCGAGATTGGGGGGGAAAGAAAGGAAGCATTTTACTAATTTTATCCTGATATGAAAAATAAATTCCTGTATAACTATTGTTACGAATTTGTAAATATGTGTATAATTTTGTAAAAATTATTTTGTTATGAAACTAAATATCCTAAATAAATCGTTTAATAAGAAAATTAGAAGAAAGTCGCGTAATTCTAACATAATTAAGAGAGGAAATAACGCCTTATGTATTTCTTATGAAATACTCGATTTGACATTTTTGCCGCCTTGGCGATAATTTTGGTAGTGTGACGATATTTGGCCACAAAATTGTAGTTCTGGAAAATTCGAGTTTCAATGCGATAGGACTAATATCTACGGCAGTGTTTCCCAAAGTGTGGTACGCGTACCCCCTGGGGTACAGGAAGAGTTTAGAGGGGTTACGCGTTCTTATGCGAAATACCTTGCAACAATCGAAAATTTCAAAAAATTTTATTTAAAAACAAAGCTAGCTATGAAAATTTACGATTATGTATTTTTCTATTGGCCATTTTTTGCAGAGTTAACAGTTAAAAATTAGCGGTGTCAATTGCCAGTCGTGATTTTTAACTTTTGCGCAATTTTTTTACCGTAAAAAATGCATTCATTTTTTTATGAGTGGTACACAGCGTTACGAAAAATTTAGAAAAGGTACACAAAACTCATAAGTTTGGGAAACACTGATCTACGGAGTTATACGTAGAATCATGTCAAGAGTTACGGGGTTTTCTATACAAGCCTATATAAATCAGAGTGTGAAGTGCTGTACTATCTATTACTACAATTTATACGAGGTTCGTACTAATACAATTATACTAGATTGTCTGGCTTTAGTCAAACAATACTACAACCTAAATTATAGTTTAAAATAAAAGTTAGGATAAGGTTGAAGAAAATTAGCGTTTTTCTAATTTCATCCTGATATGCGAAACGTCAGATATTTCGGTGTAAATTTTTTTGTACGCATCACTTACAAATGCATATTTATACTAAAAATGCAAGAGTAGGTACTTATAAAATAGAAACGCACTAGATTGTTTGATTTTAATTACAACTTGTTAATTTAATTAAAACTTGTTGCTTTTAACTACAACTTGTTATATTTTTATTGCTCATTTTTTTTCCAAGTTAAAAATCAGAACGCTGAATACTATAGACGTTGGAGTAAAAGCTATATCTAGTATTTCAATGTTAGAGTAATATAATTCACCGATATTACTACTTTAAGTTTTCAACATAGTATTTTTAAACTCAGTCTATTTCGTTTTAACATAGACCTAGGCGTATGTATTGGATTGGTGCACACATTAGATCATACTCTCAAATATTAGTAAGCCATGACACAGACAATGTGTTTTACGCTCTAATGCAACAGAGTGTCAAGTTTCCCAGTTGTATATCAATTGGAAACTCACGAAATTTAAAACGTACATTTCTGATTCAAACTAGAAAAATAATTAATCAATTAAAGCGGATCATAAAGAGGATAATCAATTAAAATGGATAATAATAAATCAATTAAAGCTGTTTGCAACTTTATATTAAAATAGGTTTTACTTGTTTTATAAATTTTTAAGTAATTAGGTTTTGGAAAAAATTACTAATGTTTCTGTAATCTGTATGCATGCATAAAAATGATCCAATATCCAAACTACTTTAATATTAAAAAAAACTTTTGATTTAGCGTTATATATATGATTTTACATGATTATGTAATAAGCACAGACGTTGTCGCCTATTGGTTTATGAATGTGAAATCGTTTGTCTTGAAACAAATGACTTATTAAAATGCCTGGTTTCAATTTTTTGTTGTTGAAATAACTTTAACCCAAATGAATAATTTATAAAGTGTATTAAACAATTGTTCTTCCAATCTCCCTTGAGTATATTAAAGACTGAATATAAATGGGCAACCCATAAATGATAAAAAATGGGCAACCCATGGAGAGGCAGAGAGCAAATACATCCATCATTCTGCTATCACGTGCCTTTCAACCAATTTTGTTCCGGTTTTATTTCAATTTTGAGGTCTAATTTATTGAATTGAAATAAATCATAATAATCAAAGATTGCAGTAAATAAAACTTTAAAGCGTTTACGGAAATTCATACTCCGAACCCAAAATGATTTTTACTGTCCCTTCATATATAATTTTTATTGTGAGTGGGAGTACAACATAAACATGGATATATTTGAGGAAAAATAAAATTACAATGCGTAAAGTTATAACGCATTAAAACGAATTAAGAAATTAAAATTCACTTGCACATGATTTTTATAGGGAACAATTTCTAATTTTAGACAACATTCAATCTAAATAAGAAAAGGATTAAAATAATAATAAAATATTCATAAAAAACTGCTATAAGTAAAGAATAAATAATAGTATGTAAACAGAACAAGAAAAAAAATTTTATGTACCCATCTACGCCAAAAATTGTTCTTGATAACAAAAGTTACATTAATAATTAAATGCCATTTCTCTACTTCTACTAATAATTTTGGATCAAGTTACGGCTTAAAGTACATCGGTACTGTTTAAAGTTAAGTACAGTATAGTTTGGGTGCGTCATCCGTTAAATCTATTTTTACCATAAAATATTGTACCGTGATTTTTACAGATATACTATTTAATTAGAGTGATTCAGTGATTTTACCGTAATTATTACTGTAAAAATTACGGCATATAATATTTTTGTTGTTGCTCTGTAACATGTTCTGGTAAATGGATTTTACTGTAAAAAGTATCTACACTCTGAATGCTGGTACTTAAATATATATGTCTGTAAAAAATTTTGGTTCAAATTTCGGTAAAAAGTGCATCGGTACGGTTTAAGTAAAGTAAAGTACGGTTTGGGTGCATCATCCGTAAAATCTACTTCTTACCGAAAAATATCATACCACGATTTTACCGTAATTATTACTGTAAAAATTATGAAATATCATATTTTTTTGGTTTTGTAACATGTTCCGGAAAATGGATTTTACTGTAAAAAGTATCTACACTACTGGTACTTTTTACCGGAATTTTCCACAGTGTTCTCAATTATGACAAAAAAATAAAATAAATGAGTTATTATTATTTAAAGAATAAATCTTACCTAACAAATTGCCATTTGTGTTGACTGAGGTATCTTTGGCTGTTATAGATTTTCTGAGGAGGGAAGACGAGGACACCAACAGTTCATCTTTACAAACATTGGTCTCTTCTTTTTTATTGACAGAGATGGTGAGAGCAGAGGGATCTTGACTGTCCTCACTGTCTTCGTAGATGCCCATGCAGTTCTCCTTATTGCAAAGTTGCACTTTGTGCTGGATGAAGCGCACTATATCTGACAAGGGGAAGTCTTTTTGGCAAACACCGCATGTCAGTATGTCTTGGAATTGCACTACATCCGCTTCACCTGTAACCACATAAACATCACAAGATTAGCTTTAGAAAGGAAAAAAAATAATCAATTCATTATTGTGAATCAACTCAGATCCTCTACCCCCCGTGGAAACAAAAATAAGTAAATTACTACAGTTTGTCTATGGAAAGAACTCCCCTCGCCACGAAGTATAAAACCGACTGCTGCTACGAAAACAAGAAATAGCCCATTAGAAAGAGATGAGCTTCTTTTTCTTTTAATTCCCTTTCTCTCCCTGACCCGAATCAAAACCTGCCTTGAATAATGACTTGAAATAGTTAAACTTCGTAACTATAGTGACCGCCACAACTCCAGACAACTTGCTAGAGGAGTTCTTTACATAGATAAACTATAATCCCTCACCCGATTTAGTAAAGACGATCAACCTGACAAAGAAATGGAAATTGGATGCACTTTGTTTTTTCACATTCAGCGGGAAAAAATAAAAATAAAACATAATAATTTTTAAAAAAATGTCAGTTTGCCAATGCAAATGTAGAATTGGAAAATAACGAGAATTTTAATTTTTATTATTTTCAGCTTAGCTTAAAAATATCACTATGATCACTGATCACCATGGTGAAATTATTAACAGGCATTTTGTTACAACAAATATGTGTTTATCTAAATAAAGGGCTTAAAGCTATCCAATAATAAACCACTTTTCACACTGCTTCGGTGATTTTTGTTGTTGTTTATTTTATTACATTTATTTATTTTCTTTTGTAAAAAAACACCACGATTTTCCATGAAGGAAACGTTATATTGCTATCTAATGGAAATATCTGCAATGTAAGTTTAAGAGTGCCGATTTGGACACAATACGAAGCAGTTTGATACAAAAACAGTGTGACCAGTCATTATATTGCCCAAAGCCCTTCATATACGATTATATATATCGACTGAAATTCTTTTCCAAATTAAAAAAAGGAATTTTTTGCTCATCAAAAACAGACTTAAGATTTTTGTTCCTTACTTCTCAGAAGAAGAAAAAAACTTTGAAAGTTATAAAGAACTGAAGCCTATAGGCTAAAGAAGAATTCCACATTGGAATGAGCAAAGAGCAATTTGGTTTTAAATAACTTTTTATAAAGAAACATTTCGATCTTTGAGGTCCAAGATGATGTAGAGACCAATTATACTAGTCAATGGCCTTATCCTTGGGCCCCCTTGGATGGGGCCCACCTGTGGTCAAGTATTACTCTTTCCGCTCATTAGATGTCCCCGCGGGAAACTTCTTAGCAAACCTCGCCCGGTTTTACTTACTCAACATGCTTGGGGTCAAACAGCAAGGTATGCTAATTGTGAATTATTTTGATTGCAATGAACAACACCAATCATTTTAAGAAATATATGTAACCACGGCGATAAAAAATAATAGAATTCCCCACAACAACTTTGGAATGAATTTAGAATAAGTTTAAGATGTGTGTATAAAAGTAGAAATCGAATCATAAAGACTTCGTGAACATTCCCTTTGTAATAATGAAAAACATTTCAAAATTGTATTTACTAAATTTGAATATGAGGTAAAAAGATTTTGGCTTATAATAAGTTTTTAAAAATTTTATCTATTAAACATTTAGTAAAAAAGGAGCAATCATAAATTCCATATCCGTCATAACAATGCATATTTGTGAAAGAATCAATATTAAGAGTTTGTGTTAAGTTTTTGGATTTTACACAAGATTTCAGAGCAATACATTTGGACCAAGAATACTACTAAATCATTAACTAGGAAACCATGCATTGAAATTTATTGGCTATGCATAGTTTAGGAACAACTGGACACCTCATTTTATACACCAAGTAAACTATGTTTTAAATTTATTCATTGTGAAACTAAAGGAAACGATTGTGATGTTTTATTTTGTAATCCATAATGTTAATATGTTATCAAAAAGTGTTCTTATTCGTACCAAAAATAACTGTCTGCATCGTCTTTTTTTTCTAACTTTCTAATTTGAGAATAACAGTGCTTTTTTTTAAACATAATTTTTACAGTTTCAAGTAAATGAAAAGTCATTATTTACTTGGGAAAACATCGATTAGACTTCAATCCTATCCTAATTACATAGAAGATTGAAAAAGCACATGGTGCAAATGATGCATAACAAAAATATTACTCTACAGCAATGAAAAAAAAAAAATTGAACCATTTAAAAAAGTAGCATATTTAAATTTATTCCATTATTCTTAGTTGCAAAGAGAAGAATTATAAGAACTTAATCTGACTAGCATTAGTAAAACATAGTTTATTTATAAATAATAATTTAGAATAGTAAATCTCAATTAAATAATGTATTTTTTAAAAAAAAATAGATATATTTCAGACTTATGAAATATATATACATGGTACGATTTAGTCTAATAATAAGTAATTGATAACGTATAAAAAAAAATCTCTATAATTAATACAATGCGCATGAAAGTAAAACACAGATATTATTTCAAGAATTTTAAGGAAAAATAACGTTAGATTATTATATGTTGCAAAGCGAAGAATTATTAGAACTTAATCTGACTAACATTAGTAAAACATTACTAGTTTATACACATAAATAATAATTTAGTATAACTTAATCTGACTAGCATTAGTAAAACATAGTTTATATATAAATAATAATTTAGAATAGTAAATCTTAATTAAATAATGTATTTTTTTTTAAAAAAATAGATATATTTCAGACTTATAAAATATATATACATGGTACGATTTAGTCTAATAATAAGTAATTGATAACGTATAAAAAAAAAAAATCTCTATAATTAATACAATGCGCATGAAAGTAAAACACAGATATTATTTCAAGAATTTTAAGGAAAAATAACGTTAGATTATTATATGTTGCAAAGGGAAGAATTATTAGAACTTAATCTGACTAACATTAGTAAAACATTACTAGTTTATACACATAAATAATAATTTAGTATAGTAAATCTTAATTAAATAATCTATTTAAAAAAAAACATTGAAATACTTATGAAATATGTATACAAGGTTCAATTTCGTCTAATAATAAGCAATTGATAAAGTATAAAAAAAATCTCTATAATTAATAAAACGTGCATGAAAGTAAAACACAGATAATATTTCAATAATTTTAAGGAAAAATAACGTTTATAACTTACTCCTGGGAAGAGGAATTGGCGGGGGAGGAAAATATGTCAAATATGAATCCAGTATTGTTGTATATGGATAATGAGTTACTTTAATAACCATTAAATCGAAATTTTACTAAATTTTTAAAAGTAATATTGGTGCTTTTTTAAGCAAGCTTCTGAAAAAACCCTTCTAAAAGGTAGGATAGAATAAATGAGACTCCGTTATTCCTTTCTGTCCGGAAGAGGATACCAAGTACAATGGGACAGCAGAACTGACCCCCCAACCGGTTTGAGTGGACACAAAATATCCAATAGGAGAAGAGCTATAGAACAGCAATAAAGACTCCTATCCTTTATTGCTGTTCCTAGAAAAAGTGTTCACTAAAAAAAGTCATAGATTTTTATTCTGATATTAGTATTTTAGTATATCAAGGAAAAGTTACTTTTAGGAAGAGAAAAAAAAAACTGATTTAAAGAAAAGCGTAATATCAAGTATGATACTACGATTTTAAGTTTAGAATATCTTAAATAAAATAATTGTACGGAACTTATGAAGAAACAAATATTAGAATTCTAATATATATAAAGAATTTATTGACAGTTATGAAATTCTTTTAGAAATTCTATTAATATATATAACATAACGGCTCGGGTTGCATATTACTAGTGCATATTTTGCTAATTTTGAATCCCTTTTAGCAAAAGATTTTTATTTATTTATTTTTTTCATAAAAGGGATTCATTATCAACTTTCTTTTAGACATCTAGTTTATGTGCACTGTAAACAGTTTCTTAAAATTGAGCAAAAATTTTTTAAGATAAATAAATAAAAATTTATTTATACTCCGCTGACGCTAGCGCAACACTAAGTTGTAATGGAAAATAATACTTTTTAAAAAAAGAAGTAAGTAATTAGAACTAAGTTGATAATTTCCAATTTAACTATAACTTTAGTTTTTTAAAGGATTGCAAATGTATGATTTCAGATCAAAATATAACCGTTTTTATATTATTAATATAGCTTGGCAAACATGAATATTATTGTTTCAACGAATTAAATTTAAAACAAAAATAGAATAATTAAATAAATAGAATTTTGTAAAAAAAAGTTGGAAATGTTGGCGATTTTATGGTTCAAAAAAGTAACACGGCATTCTATAGTAAACTCGTGTAGTAATACGCCTTCCTGTACCCAAATGAAATGTGCAAAATTTTTTGAAAAAAATGATACGATAGGTTGTCTTATATGAGTTACGTCAAAGAATGAGAAGAAGATCAACGAAGATCATATTTTCTTAACTTACTAGATAATTATATTTCAGCCATTCTTATGATATTACTCTTTTTAGGTGTCGCAAATTATTTTTAATGAACGAAAAAATGAAACGCTGTCAAAAATCGAAATCAATCGAATCACTACTGGGTAAAACAGGTCTGAAAACGTCAAAGCCAGAAGAAACACATCTAAATTATATCGAGCAATCAAACTGACTTTTAAATTTTCGAGCCCGCTTTTTTCACCAGTTATTAGACAGATTTTTTTTACAAGGTTTCTAGAAATATATATTAAAGGTGTTCATTACGAAACACCCGATAAATTAATAATCCAAGTATTTTAGATTTCGAAAAGGGGATACAAAGTAAAATATTTTTACATCTAATACTTTTTGATAAATAAAAAAAAAGTATTAGATGTTTCTTTTGTTCGTTTCTAAAGAAATTAAGACACAACACTAACAATAATATTTTGGATTAAAATATATATTTAAAAATTAATGTGCATAAAATCGACAATATTTCCTTTGGCTTTAAACGTTAAGTTACTTGCCCTGAATCATATTATACTTACCTGAATTATATTATAATAATTAATAGCGCTAAGCGTTTTA